TTGGATCATCTTGTTTGACAGACAACTATTACAGGTTATTGATAGACAGCCAGTTTTGTTTTACCAAACTGGCTGATGTGCCAATAGACCAAGAACAATTCCAATCGGCACATAGAGCAATGAATGTAGGACAACAGAAAATGAGCAATGAATGTAGGACAACAGAAAATGTTTAGAATGGTTTAGAATGGTCACAGAAATAATTAACAAGCAATTGCATGAAGACCCTGAGAGTGAAGACTCCTGAATGCTTAAGTCTTCATCACTGGAGGAGCTGGAGTGGGCAAAATATTCCTGAAAGTGTTGAAAAATCTAATCGATCGTTGCTTTGCAAAGAAAGCTGTATTAGTCTGTGCGTTAACTGGAGTTGCTGTGCGCCTTATCGGTGGATCAACTATTCATTCCACATTGAAATTGCCTGTTCAAAGAGATGGTCGAAGCGCTACCATGTCCCCATTAACCGGACATTACTTAAGAACCATGCGACTACAATGGAAGGACATTGAATGCATCATGATCGATGAGATATCAATGGTCTCATATCACATGCTATGCATGATTAATGTGTCTTCGACAGCTGAAGAATAAGGATGATCAATTCTTCGGTGGTATCAATATTCTGTTATTTGTCGATTTGATGCAGCTTCCTCCAGTTAGACCGAATAACACAACTGTCACTCCTATATATGATCGGCCAGAAAATCTACAATCAGCCACTCATCTATGGGGATTATACACACTGTGCGAGCTTAAAGAAAATATGAGACAGCAAAGTGGTTATACGTTCATCGATGTGTAGTGTACGTACTGAGGCGCACACACACCATTCTTGGAGGGAACTCGTTTATTAACAACTTTACTGTACACTGGGTTATGTTACTAAGTGTGGCTAACTCTGGTTAGGATGCTCACGATGTGCATGTCTGCTAGCTAGCTGGATCCCCAAAACGAACCCAGAATCCCCCTTACACTTCTCCCTTATCCCGTGGCCCCGGCCCCACCCGTTACTGTGTCTAGGCAACATGTCCTTCCGTCCAATCGAGACCCCGCTTCAGGTCACGTGCCCTTGAGTCGTCCAATAGGACTCACTTCCGGTCACGTGCCCGAGCTCGCCCAATCGAGCACCTTTTCCGGTCATGTGCCTTTCGGTCGTCCAATCGGGCCCATTTCCGGACACGTGCCTTCAGCTCGTCCAATCGAGCACCGCTTCCGGTCACGTGCCATAAGATCGTGCTACCCACAAGACATCTGTGTGTCTCTACAAATGTATTAAATGCACTGCGAGTTGGAGAAATGAGAGCTGAGCATTTCGCAATATTGGAAAGCAGACGTCTTCAAGAACCAATTGGAGAGTTTGGCATAGATAAAGCTCTGCGAATCTATCTAACGAATAATCAAGTGAATGCTCATAATGAAGCGGTGCTTCAATACTTCAGAGCTCTTAAGACCCCTATGTACACAATAACAGTACAAGATCAATTAGTGGATGTCATGAGAAATGTTGAAAATATTGAAATGAACACAATCATTCCAAAGGACATCAGTAAGACTGGAGGCTTGCCACGTGAATTGATATTTCTAGGAGCCAAAGTCATGTTAAGATCCAACATTGATGTCTCTAAAGGACTTGTAAATGGTACAATTGGATATATCAGAAAAATCACTTGGCCTATTCCTAGTCGTGCACAATTGCACGAAAGACAAATACATGAAATAGTTGAAATAGACTTTGGCAAGGACGGCACACACGAAATTAAGACGAAATCAGTTCAGTTCCCTGCTAATCGTGGCTATGGTACAGCTGAACGAAGAATGCTGCCACTAATTATATCATGGGCATCGACTGCACAAAATGCAAGGATGTACAGTGGATCATGCAGTCGTGTACTTGGGATCAAAGCTCTTCGAAGCATGTCAAGCATATGTTGCCTTAAGGCGTGTTCGCTCGCTGGATGGACTTCGAATTGAAGATTTGGAAAATCGAAAACTAACAGGAAAGACACCATGCAATAATGAAGCATTAGCAGAAATTGATAAAATGAGAAATCATAAATCAGATTAAATAAACTCGATTTGTGTGTCAATATCTTATACACACAAATATGTTTGAGTACATTACAAACAACATCAAGGCAATGTACAGAGTTAACAACAGTGCTCTCTGGATCGCACTATAAAAGATAAGGTCCCCAAAAGAAGTATACTTAGTCTTAGACTGAGGCTATTTTTTGCAAGGATTTTGAAAAAAAATCAAATTATATTCCTTGTAAAAAATAATTGTTAAAATAAAGACTACAAATTAAAAAATAAACTCCTAAAACAAAATTTTTTAAACCAACGGTTTTATTTTAAAGTGCACTAAAAGTAAAAAAAAATGCAGCCGTCACCAGCTGATCAGAATATTTTTGGGTATTTGTAACTAAAAAATTAAACCGTGGGGCACTCCTTTAATATAACTCTTATCTTAATCGATGACCAAGAATAGCTAAAGAAAGTTATCAACAAATGGTACTCAATAGCATAATCAAATACTATAATATTTCTAAGAACATAACGGGGCTATCTCTATTTGCTATTACCAATCTCATGATGATACTTAGTTGGTTGAGAATGCTTGATGTGTTGTAGCACATGTGGAATCATCAAAATATTCCATGCTAAAATTCAAGTATTTAGGTTTTGAAGGTGTCAGTTTTGTTGCCAGATAGAAGGGTAATAAACCAATGATCAGGTTTTGAAGAGTTGGAACAAAGTATAATATGACATTGCTTGTAGCGTTCCTTTGTAAACTAAAGTCTCACAATATGAATATCACTAGAAAAAGGTAAGGTGTAAGTTTCTAGGCAATGTAGAATATGCGTGATATGGAATATCACGTATCAATAATAAAAATCCTAGTATGAAATTATAATAGAAAGTTCACCATTGATCTGCAAATCTTGACGAGCAAATTTTACTTATCAAAAGTTAAAACGTAACAACATAAATAATAAGTATTTGAAGCAATTGAAACGCACATGTGTACTTGATTATGATAGGGAAAAAATGCATGAAGAATAGCTAAAATAATTACAATTACAAATACTTGACAAATACCTTCAAAATAATTTGAAACAGATCTACTACGCTTTATTATATTATCGGAGAAGCAAAGATAGATTTTATAGTCTATATATAGTAATTACATGTACATGTCATTTATGTACTTATCTTCCCTTCGTCTAATATACTCTGACCAAGAATAGAAGTTGCCATCGGAAGTTGAGAAAAAAATATGGGTTTAGGTATACTTTGGATCACTTTGCAGTCAACTGTTCTTTAAAGACGTTTTTTTTAAACAACGGTTTTATTAACAACTTCGTTTAACTCACGGTCGAGAAGTACGTCAATGGCGCCTGAGACACGCAGCGCCTGATTTTTGTGCGAGCCGATTCCACAGTTTAGGGACCGCGACGTTTTTAACATACACAAAAATATATTATTAATACGCCGTCCATACAAAAAATGTAATTGCTTTAAAGGAGGCAATTAATTTATGAATTTATGCCGATTTGCCTACAGGCCTGCATTGTCACCGGATCTGAGTACTGTGCAAAATTTGGAATTGATTGGCCAACAGGAAGTAGACTAACTTTTGATTACAAGATTTGACCACGACATACACAAGTGAAGTTAAATAAAACCGTTGAAATAAAACCGTTGAAAAAGCAGTTCAACACGGATACGAGTAGAAAGAGCTAGTAATACAGAATTAAGAATTATACTTGTAACTGTTCTGCACTTCATCGCAGAGTTAAATTACATCACTATCAACATTTTCCCTTCTACTAAAAATGATTGAAAATAATCATGACATTGTATCATGCAAATAAACTTTCATCAAACTAAAAAAATCAAAAGCAACTCAATATGCATAAAAATATTAAAGGAGCGCCCCACGGTTTTATTTTTTAGCTACAAATGTTAAGGAATATTCTGATCAGCTGGTGACGGCTGCACATTTTTAAAATGTAAACTTTTTAATGCACTTTAAAACAAAACCGTTGGTTTTAAAAAATATTTAAGGAGTTTATCACCAAATTCGGTTTTCCAAAAACCACTCCGTTAATTTAACCATCTTTCACTGTTGAGTTACGCTCCGCTTTCAATAACTCGCCAGCTGTCGTAAACATTGCGATGTTTAACAGCTGTGTGCCTCTAGCAGAGATCTCCAGGTTCATAGCGACCTTAGGCGTGACTTTTTCTGTTTGTGTACCACGAGCTCCGCTTTGGGGGCTTTCACTGCCGAGTCTCGCGTTTTCACATCGATTCCCATCGCACGTTAACTTGTTTCCGCCAACGTTTTGGGAAACATTCGAATGCCGGCGAATAACTTTGGATAAAGTGAGATTCCCCTCAAATATCAATGGCGTCTATCTGCACATCGTCAGCTTAGCCCCTTGCCATGAGGTTGAAGAACCTCTTTAATTTACACCGAGTCAAAGGATTCTCAGTATTCAAAGACTAACAAGGTTACATCGCAGTTATTTTCCAAGACATTGCATGTTTACCCTCAACGAGCACACCGGAAGAAAACCTTCCTTCTAAATCACTCGTCAGGCGTGAGATAGCAAATTTTTATATTCCACCATTTTCTTTCAAAGATCTCATACATTTTGAACGTAAGAGGAAGCGTTACCCCTACTTGTACAGAATAAAAAACACATTCCAGTGATGTACCCGTTTTCAGAGCGCTAATAACTGGATGTCAAGTGCCACCCATTACGGACCTGTTTTGAAACAGTACAAAGGCCGGTTTCGCCAAACATCTGTGAGGACAATGCCATGCTCGTTGATCTTTTTGGGACCAGCAAACCTAGGGAATTACATTAAGTAACCAAATGGTGCATCACGAAAAGAGCCAGCCACAGCTCGCAGATTCCCAACTTCACGCGCACGATTCACCAAGACCAGGAGCAACCAGTTTGCCAGCGATTTTATTCACATTTTAAAGGCATTTATTATGGCTTATCAGCAACAATGGGTGTGCCACAGGGCCCCTTGGTGAGGAACACGCGCTCATGGAACGGGGCATGGCCGGCCACGAGAATCCGCGTCCACGTGGCCATGAACGCTTGGAAGTCCACGCTGGCGCCTTGGTTCTCGTGAAGATCCCCCATGATCTTGCGCACTTCATCTGGGTCGCAGGCGCCCTGCAGTCGTGACAGTGGGAACGGTTTGTTACAGGGAATGTACCAATAGCTCTGCTCAGCGCAGTACGAGCAGCAATGAACATGCTATGGTGGCCATTAAAAGCCCAGTCACAATCAACCCCGAGCAGTGGCTACGCGCGCTCAGTCGTTCGAGCCATGGACCCGAGGGCCGCCTTCGCGACTACAAGCCGTGGGGCTCCCGCAGTGGGCGATCTCAGAGCGGCTGTGCGAAGAGACGCAGTCGGTGACGCGGCACGGCTCGAGAAACGAGTGCGCGGTGCCGCCGCGGCGCAGATTCTGCAGGAAACCCACCGCCAGGTAGGGCCGCATGTGCTTCACGAGCAGTTTCTGCAGCGCGTGCTTCCTCATGGAGATGCTCCCCGCGCCTCCTTCACAGCTGGCGCAGAACTCGCGCACAAAGATGTCCATGACAGCGCTCAGATCCTCCAGGGCGGCGGCAGATGAAGGCATCACGAGATTCTTTAAAATTAAAGCACGTACATTTCATTACACAACGAAGAAACAAACATCACCCACATATCACATTTAGACTTGGAGAGAACCGATTCAAGGCCAGCACTACCCCCCTCCAACTTTGTTTGCCAAGTAGTGAAGTTTACAACCACACAGTCTTCATTTGGCGGCCAAATCGATCAAAGGAAAGCCCACGACTGGTTAAGAATACTCTGCGGGCGATGGCGGCGTATCAAACTCGGGTCACCGGGTTCATGATCCCAGTACGCCAACCGCTACACTACCGCTCATTACACACGCGTATACACTCTACACGGGTCAACGCCGAGCAACAACCTTCCACAGAATACGAATATTTCTTTCAGGAGACAGCCGCGAGACTAAGTGGCTTAACAAATCAGGACCCAGACTTGAGCAGCTGCCTCAATCTCGAACCAACGCAACAAAAAGCCACGGAGGTCGAACTCTACGAGGTCGCTCCGCATTCAAGACGCCAAGAGCCACGCACTCACCTCGATGTAAAAGCGTAACAACAGAGACGACGATAAACCACGGAATCCAAATCACCTCTCGCGCTGCGGTTTAAATCCTCACTTGTGCTGATGATGTCACCAATTACCGCCTTCACCTGTGCTGAAGACGTCACTTATTATTGTGTGCACCTGTGCTGTGTGATGCTAATCATCATTGTAGCGACCTGTTTTATTGACGTCACATGACTCATCGAGTCTCCGTGTGCGAATCTGACCAATCCCGTGCATCCGCTCATTCATACGAGTCACTTGGGCGTGCGGGGTAATGGTGATAATGGCAGCAGTGACGATGATGATGACGAGAAGTAGGTTGGCTGGAATGAAGCTAGTTGTAATTACTGGCGAAACGTCAAACTCAGATTGTAAATGTTGTGGCTTGTCTCTCCAACACACCGGTGTGCTGTACTAGTATACTACACTATACACTACACTACTATACACTAACTACACTATACACTACACTATACACTACTATACACTATACTACTACACTATACACTAGTGCTGTACTAGTATACTACACTATACACTACACTATACACTAGTGCTGTACTAGTGACGAATTGGCATGTTATGTTTACGTGACAACCCGTACTAGTTGGCTGTGTCTGGTGGTGACGGGTTTAAACGACACATTTATATATTTACGCGATCTAACTCCAAAAAACTATATTATGGAGGTTGGCTGAGTTCGTCTTTCTCTGTGATGTTCACTATTGTCATGAAGACGCCACTCACCGTTCTATTGCCGGGAAACTTGATCACAAATCCAATGCGAGTCACAATAGCTTTACAATGTTTAATCTACTTGAGCCGATTGAAGCGACAAATAACTCACTCAACATTTATTTTAGTGCAATATCTTTCGGATTTCTCATGACGCACTTGTTTTGGTCAGGATTGCGATTTGATTTATTCAGAACTTTAATTGTTATTTCTTGCCATTTCGGTGATCCAGGTCACTTGCAAATGAGAGTGTATCCTGGTCTCTTGGAGTTTTCATCTGATTTTGTTAAATAAAATACATTTCATTTTTCTAATGTTTTGATTCGTGCTCTGTTGATTGACTATACTTCCCCACTGTGGAAAGTCGATGTTGGTGAATGTGATGAGGGGCAGGGGAGGCTGGATCCTTTCAGTTGTCGCGTTATATCCCTACAATACGAAGACCGATCTCGCACTCCCTAGCCCATTTCATGGACACCACACTGGGATTGGCGCTGAGCGGCTACACTTCGAGTGGAAATGGAGAGGCGCTCTGAGCAGTGGAGCCACCGGAACTGTGGGGGAACATCGCAAATTGAGCGCGGACTCTCTGTGTTCAGCCTTCAGCAGCAAAATTTCTGAAACCATCCTGAGGTCCGACTCCGGTGAACCCACGTGCCAGATCCACATTACCCAACGCACTTCTCCTTTGGCGTAATCACTCATCACCAACATCACAAATCATCACCAACACCGTTATCAACATCATCAGCCCAGCGTAATGTAAAAGTCGAGTGCATTACAGCTGCTGCTGGCATGATTTCGTGTGTCCCTATCTCTTAACATTGCCCCATATACTTCCTATGAGAACCAGTTTCTGATCCCTTCACATTGGCACATAGACTTTTTATAGGAACCGGCTCTCTATATATTAAAATTGGCCAATGTAAAAAAGATAGGGAACCGGTTTCCCATCGCTTAACATTGCCCCATAGGCTTTCATATGCTTGTCCTCTGGATACGACACAGTCTGGTGCCAAGGACTCCTGCTTAAACTCGCCAACACCATCAAGTGTGAAAAAAATAGTTTTCCACATCAAATAGTTTTGATGTGGTCTCCTTATTCACCAAAGTTTCTGTACCTGACACCATCGGAGTCATTGAAGACTTGGTTCATCTGATTCAACACAGTACATAAAATCCATGATATGGTCCCGTCTGTAAAGGATGTGATTCCAGACATACGGTACCCTGGCGTCTACAAACTCAGTTTCCTCTGTGGTAGCAGTTACATTGGAGAAACCAAACGACATGTCTCGGACCGCATCCGTGAACATAAAGCAGACCTAAAACACGGTAGGACTAACTCCTCAGCCGTGGCAGACCACTGTTATAATTCAGTGGGTTCACATGACATTGACTTCTCCAAGACAGAGGTTATCTGCAAGCCATTTAGCTACCATGAGAGATTCGTTCATGAGGCTATCCACATATACAAACACAGAGATAATTTCAACCGTGAAGATGGTTTCTGGCTAAGCAATAATTAGAAGGATGTGATAAACCATTTCGGGTTTTAATTGATTGTGTTCACGCTTACAGTGACTTTCAGACCGCATTCCATTATCCTTCTCTCCCCCCTCCTCTGTTCCGAGCATAGATGGACTCGTCCGTCTGAACAACCGCCAGTTGCTGTCCGTGGTGCTAACGTTAAGAAAAAAACGCCACTTTTTTCAAATTTTCTTGCTGTGGATTTCACACCTGATGATGATTGCTTGTGTTGCAATCGAAACGTCGTGATAATTTTATTGTTTTATTTTTATTTTATTAGTTCCCTTCTACGTGACTTTACAGAAAGAACCAAGAATATGAATCCCTGCAGTCATGAAAGCTTTAAATCGAAATCTAGGGATTGTATAAGAGGCCCCGTTCTGCAATCCCATAACGAATTCGAAGGGAAAATGACCAGAAATGCCTGAAAAACGGGGAAATCGCAGATAATTTATTCCATACACACCTGTGGTGACGTAAATACATTTGTAGTGAGTCCAACTGAGTAACAGACGTTATCTTGGGAGCAACACTATTTATTCCGCAACTGAACACAACATTGCACAATCTTCACTCGGGTCTCGAATGCCCATCTAACCATGCTATGGCAGAACTAGACACGTTCTAGATTTGAAGCTTTTGTGACTGCAAGGATTCATACACTTAATACAGTAAATTCAGCTGTGACAGTCCCACCTGATGACGGAGACTTGTGTTGCCACCGAAACGTCGTGATTTATTATTTTATTTCTATTATTATTTCTATTATTTTGTTAAACATTTTTATTATTTATTTTCTTTTACCTACGTGACTTTACCGAAAAAAAACCTAAGAGTAAGAACTAGACACGGTTTGCAATCCCGGCCCGGACCACAAGCTTGGTCCCAGACTGCGTGGCTCAAGGCTTCTTCTCCCCGACGTGGATCTTCTTCACACCAGCACACGAAGAACCTCGAGCTTCTCACGGGGCGCCCGTTATATGCCCCTGGGCTGGAGCTGGCTCCACCCTTCGCCCCGCCCACCTTCCAGATCTCTCGAGCTCTTTCTCGAAGGTTCCCGAGAGCTCTTCTAGACCACATTACCGCCCAGCGGCTCCCGTCCACCGGTGGCCCTCCTCCAATATCATCCAGTCATGTGTCAGCAGGTCAACTAGCGTATAATGCCCCAACATAACCCTGGCTGGCTGACGCTCCCTCTCGCTCCCTCACCGGAAGCCCGCACCACACACTGCTCACGGTGCCTCCGCGCTGACCAGCGCTCACCCAAGCCCCGCTAGGGCTGGTACTACACCCCTTAACCGGGCTGCCCGTAATGACAACACATTATCCGCCATGGCTTCGTAAGCCCGGCACCACACAGTGACAATCACTGTCACTACATCACTCCCCCCCCCCCTCCATAGCTACCAGCCATCCCGGCTTCCAACTCCCCCCCAAGTAAGCAACCGACGTATACTCATACAGAACATAACAACAAGTGTGCTCCAACAACATAACAACGCAATTAATTACCCAACCCAACTGTACAATATATATACACACTGGAAACAAATGAATGGACGAACCAATAATCGCGCCGTTCGAGATCCCCACAATCAACATCTCCCACCAACAACGTGTAACAATGCCCGTGAGGTCGATGGCGAGCAAGATCCTCCAAATACTCGCCACGACTCACGCGAGCACGACAGCCCATGACGGTGTGGGAGTGTGCAATGCACGGGGATCACGCGAATCGAGTCTTATTTTAATATCACTAATATCTTAATCGATGACCAAAAATAGCTAAAGAAAGTCATTATCAAATGGTACTCAATAGCATAATAAAATTCTATAAGATTTCAAAGAATATAGCGGGGCTATCTCTAGTTGCTATTATCAATCTCATGATGGTACTTGGTTGAGATGGCTTGATGTGTTAGTAGCACGTTTGGAATCATCAAAACTATTCTATGCTAAAATTCAAGTATTTACGTTTTGAAGAGTTGGAACAAAGCATAATATGAAATGGCTTGTAGCGTTCCTTTGTAAACTAAAGTATCACAATATGAAGGGAGCGGTGTCTGATATCACTAGAAAAAGGTAAGGTGTAAGGTTCTAGGCAATGGAGAATATGCGGGTATATAGAATATCACGTATCAATAATAAAAAGCCTAGTATGAAATTATAATATACAGTTCACCATTGATCTGCAAATCTTGACGAGCAAATTTTGCTTATGAAAAGTGAAAACGTAACAATATAAGTAATAAGTATTTGAAGCAATTGAAACGCACATGTCGACTTGATTATGATAGGAAAATAAAAAATGCAGAAATAGCTAAAATAGTTACTATTAAAAATGCTTGACATTTTTAAATGTAATTGCTTGAAAGGAGGCAATTAATTTATGAATTGATGCCGATTTTCATTCAGGCATGCATCGTCACCGGATCTGAGTATATGTGCAAAATTTGGAATTGATTGGACAACAGGAAGTAGACTAACGTTTCATTACAAGATTTGACCACGACAAACACAAGTGAAGTTAAATGTAACCCTTGAAATAAAACCGTTGAAAAAGCAGTTCAACACGGATACGAGTAGAAAGAGCAAGTAATACGGAATTAAGAATTCTACTCAAAACACTTGTAATTGTTAAATGTTACTGGTAGGAACGAAGTGGACCAGCCTACAATAGATTATATCGTCCGTCCGTCCGACCGTCCGCCCGACCGTGTAGCAACATCGCCCCCTTCTGCAAACACTTGGCATGACCCTACAAAAACCTTTAGACTCAGTGACGCTTTCCTGGCTAAACAAGTGTAACATTCCCTTATTATTCCCTCA